CGCACGCGCGCGCGTCGCGCGCCACGCGTCGCTCGAGAGCGCGCGCCAACCGCGATTCGAACCGGGGCCAAAAGGCGCCTGGAGCGACCGCGGTCCGGTCGCGCCACCGCGGCTGCGGGGCTGATAGAGCAGACCGGCTGCGGCTCCTGATGTACCTCCGCTTTTGGGTGGCGGTCGCGCGCTGCCGACGGCGCTCGCCGGCGCTACGGCGCTCGCGGCGCGCTCGTGGCGTTCAGGGCGGCTCGCACACGCACACGCACACGCACACACACACACACACACACACACACACACACACACACACACACACACACACACACACACACACACACACACACACACACACACACACATGCACAGACACACAGCCCCTTCCCCTCCCCCCTCAAGGGCGAGGACACGCACAGGCCGCACCTCTAGTGAGGCCCGCATAGTATGTGGGAGACTCGTGCCGCCGCCCCTGCCACCCCTGTGTCAGTGTGCCTGTGGTAGGAGAGACTGCCAGCGACAAGCTGGAGGCAGGTCGCTAGACTGAGATGAGACCGCCAGTGGATGTGGGAGTCCACCGCGCACCGCGCTGCGAGCCTGTCGTGTCCCTTGTCAGGAGCAGGAGAGCCCCACCTGTCCCCCTGATCGTTCTTCCAAAATCCTGCTCGTGCAGGTGGGGACCCTGTCCTCGTCCCATCCCTCGTTTGGCGTGTCTGTTTTCTTTCTTTCTTTTTTAAACGTAGTCGTGGCCCCCCGCTACGTCGCACGAGTGCAACCGGGTAGCGGGGGGCTAGTAAAGAAGACATATTGCCCGGCCGTTCATGAAGTCCATCGATTTTGGTTTTTTCCCCACAGACCACTCGGGCAACTTTTACGAAAGGCAAAGTTTTACTTGACCACTCGGGCACAGATTCGATTGCATTTTACCACGCGGGCAAACTCGATGAAACGGACGGAAAACGCGTTTGCGACGGCTCCCGGAGAGCGATGCATGGAGCGGCCGGTGCGCCACCGCAGCTCACCGATGGAGCCTGCGTCGCGGCTCAATCCACTGACGCAGCAGCACTGCGACACACTCTCCAAGCACAGCCTCTGGCGTTGCGATTGCCCAGAGAGCGAGCAATAGGCGCCAAAAGCACAGATCTGTGTGCAGTGAGTCTCCATGTCGGTCGCGCCCAGCGAGAGGACAGCCGCGGGCCTCGGATGCTCGCCCGGACGCGAGCCCACCGTGCGAGTTGCGGACCCGGAGGCGGCCGGCCCAGCTCACCCCCAGGGAGGCCATGCCCAGGGTCAGGCATAAAGGGGGGGTGTTTTCCGTCCGTCCATTTCTTTTTTGACCAGACAGTGCTATCAGTCAACAACACAATGCCGAGAGCAGGGCGGCCTTCGAGCAGGGCGTCCTTCGAGGCAACTAAGTTCCTGCTGCATTTTGCCACTCAAACAAACAAAAAAAATCTCTCTCTCTCCCACTCAACGTACAACTTGATGGCGGGCGGACGTGTCGAGCATGGATCGAGAGCATGGAAGGCACGTGAAGGCGGCCATTGCTCAAACCTGTTCGAGTTGGCCTCCGGGAACAAGGGTGCGTGGCCGGCGCGGTCTGTTTCACGCGCGAACATGGGCCGACATGGCTCCCGACATTTCACAGGCATAATTTCTCAGGCATAAACTCGCGCCGAGCGACGGGGCCGGGTCGAGGGTACTCCTGCACATGCACCTCCGCGCTCCCTCCGACCTCCCGATCCCACCCGGCGTGTGCACAAAGTCGGTCAGGCAGTCTTGCCAGCTGTACTCAAAGCCTGGGACCGCCGCTGGGTCGCCCTCCGCCGCGGCGAGGTGACGCACAGTGTGGTCGATCCTCCCGAGGTCGAGGCCACCATGGTCGTGCGCCTCGTCCTCCCAGCCACGCTTTGCCGGCGCGGCGTGTGTCGTCTCAGCACGCGGCTTTTCGGGAGCGGCAACACGCGCAACGTCGGCATCATCGCCCACATCGACGCCGGAAAGACGACCACTACCGAGCGGATGCTCCTGCTGGCCGGCGCGGTGCACGCTGCGGGCGAGGTGGACTCTGGCGACACGGTCACCGACTTCTTGGAGCAGGAGCGCGAGCGCGGCATCACCATCCAGTCCGCCGCCACCTCGTTCGGCTGGCGCGGCGCCGCCGTCTCGCTGATCGACACGCCGGGCCACATCGACTTCACGGTCGAGGTGGAGCGGGCGGTGCGGGTGCTGGACGGTGCCGTCCTCATCGTGGACGCGGTCGCCGGCGCGCAGGCGCAGACGGAGACGGTCTGGAGACAGGCTCGCCGGCATGGGGTGCCGGCTGTCGCGTTTGTCAACAAGATGGACCGAGAGGCGCCTCGCCACAGCCTCGCCCAGCCAGAGCCGCGCCCGCCGCGCCTCGCCCCAGAGCGCCGGTTGGGAGTACCTCCGCCAGACCTCCGCCAGACCTCGGCCACCTCTCGGCCACCTCTCGGCCACCTCTCGGCCACATCTCGGCCACATCTCCCCAGGGCGCCGACTGGGAGTCCGCCGCCTCCTCGCTCGCCACACGGCTGCAGCTGCGTCCGCTGCGGCTGCAGCTGCCGCTGTACGAGCCCGCCGGCACGGCGGACGGCGCGCAGCACTTCGTCGGCGACGATCTAGCCGAGATCTGCCCGAGATCTGCCCAAGATATGGCCAAGATGTGGCCGAGACCTGGCCGAGATATGGCCGAGATAGAGCTTGCACTGGGTGGGCGGCGCGCAAGCCCGCGTCGCCGCCGTCGCCGTCGCCTCGCGGCCAGGCTTGCTTCTCCTCCATGCAGCCTCCGTTTCTCTTTCATAGAGCGAAGTCTGCCTCCTAGGGGCCGTCGACCTCGTCTCGGGCGTCGCGATGCGCTGGCGGCCTCGGGGAGCGCAGCTCGGGACGGGGTCGCGCTCAGAGGCGAGATCTCGCCGAGACCTCGCCGAGATCTCGCCGAGATCTGAGGTGCAGCCGAGAGACAGCCGAGAGACAGGGTCTGCGCTCAGAGGCGCGTGAGGTGGAGCAGCGCTGCCGCAGCGCCATGCACCGCTCGTCTGTGATCTGGAGCTGTCTCGGAGAAGTGTCGGAGAAGTGTCGGAGAAGTGTCGGAGAAGTGTCGGAGAAGTGTCGGTGAAGTGTCGGAGAAGTGTCGGTGAAGTGTCGGTGAAGTGTCGCGGAAGTGTCGGTGAAGTGTCTCGGAGGTGCTGGCCGTAGGTCTGTGATCTGGAGCTGACTGCTGCCGCGGCTGCGGCGTGTGAGGCTGCCTCCTCCGCCGGGCTCGCGCTGCTGCAGGCTGCTCCCGAGACACTTCCGAGACACCTCCGAGACACCTCTCAGACACTCCTGAGACACGTCCGAGACACGTCCGAGACACGTCTGAGACACGTCCGAGACACGTCCGAGACAGCTTCCCTCGCTGCAGGCTGAGGGCGAGGCTGCCGTATGCGAAGCGGCGGAGGAGGCGAGGGCGGCGCTGGTGGAGGAGGTTGCGGAGCTTGACCCAGACGGCGAGGTGGCGCGAGATTGCACCGAGATGGACCGAGATGAGCCAGGATGGCCCGGGATGAGCCAAGATGGCTCGGGATGGCCCGAGATGAGCCGAGATGGCCCGAGATGACCCGAGATGAGCCGAGATGGCCCGAGATGGCCCGAGATTATCCGATCCTGATGGCCGGTGTGTGTGAGTCGTCCTCAGTGCCCGCTCGATCGAGCATCTCAGATGCCCTCGTCGCCGGCCGCAGGTGGCGGACTTGTTCTTGGCCGAGGAGGCTGTCCCCGCCGCCACGCTCGCCGCCGCCATCCGCCAGCTTGCCCTCTGCTCCGCTGCGGTGCCGACCCTCTGCGGTGCCTCCCTGCGCGGCGTTGGAGTCGAGCCGCTTCTCGACGCAGTCGCAGCCTACTTGCCGTCGGCCGAGGAGCGACCCGTCCCCTCTCAATCTCACGATTCCGATCCCGATGTGAGGATGAGTAACGGCGTGTGGTTGTGTCTCTGGGAGCGACCCGCCCCCTCTCAATCTCACGATTCTGAGGATGAGGATGAGGATGAGGATGACTGTGAGAGTCATGTTGCGGCTGTTCATCTAGGAGCGGCCCGCCCCTCTCCTCTCCCCCGAGGGCGGCGGCGGCGGCGGCGGCGGCGGCGGCGGCGGCGGCGGCGGCGGCGGCGGCGGCGGCGGCGGCGGGGAGGGCGGCGGCGGGGAGGGAGGCGGCGGGGAGGGAGGCGGCGGCGGGAGCGGCGCTGCATCGGGCGTGCCGCTGGCGGCGGCGGCGGAGGGAGTGGCGCTCGCGTTCAAGGTGACTCGGCGTTGATTACTGCTCCTCCAGTGTGAATGACTCTGAATGAGCGGCGGACGAGGGGGGGGGAGGGTCGCTACTTCGCCTTTCAGGTGACGCACGAGGCGCACTCGCGCAAGCCGCTGGTCTGGCTCCGCGTCTACCACGGCGAGATCTCGCCGCACTCGCCCCTCGTCCTCGTGCCGGGCGAAAGGGGCCGCGAAGAGGCCGCTTCCCCGCCAGCCGGAGCGAGGCGGGGCGGGGGGCGGGGCGGCGGCCTCGCCGCCGGGGGCGGGGGCGGAGGCTTGGTCGAGACGCCCACCGCGCTGCTGACACTTCACGGCGGCGAGGCCGTCGAGATCCAGGCCGAGATCGCGCCGAGATCGCGCCGAGATCGCGCCGAGATCGCGCCTCTTGAGTGGAGATGCCATCTCGCGGTCCAGGCCGCGCCGGCCGGCACTATCTGCGCGGCGCGAGGACTCAAGGGCGTAGCGACGGGCGACACGCTGCTGCTGCGGCCGAAGGAGGGTCTCGGCGCCCTGCGGCTGCCTGGGGTGGCGGTGCCTCCGCCCGTCTTCTTCTGTGCGGTCGAGGCCGAGGCGGCGTCGCAGCAGCCGGCGCTCGACGCGGCGCTCGCTCCACCCCGTCTCGAGGACCCGCCATTCGTCGATGCCCATTACCGGCAGCAGCAAGTACTCAGTAGGCGCTCGCCGCGCTCCGGCTCGAGGACCCGTCGGTGGCGGTCAAGAATGACGCGTCGACCGGCCAGCTGATGGTGGGGGGGATGGGGGAGCTGCACCTCGAGGTGCTGCTGCAGCGCCTCGCGTCGGAGTGGCAGCTCCGTGTCCGCGCGCGGGCGAGATCGATCGAGGTCACTCGAGGTCACCCGAGATTTGCTGAGAGTAGGCAGCTCCGTGTCCACGCTGGCGAAATGCGGGTCGCCTACCGCGAGTCGATTTGCAGCGCCGTGCGGCGCACGTCGACGCACGCCTCGCAGCTCAAGGAGGGGGGCGAGGTCCGCATCGAGATCGAGGTGGAGCCTTAATCACCGCTGAGTCTCCGCAGTACACCCTGAGTAAGCAGTGGTGCATCGCGATCGAGGTGCGCCCTCTCGACCTCGCGGACGGCGCCGGCGCCGCGCCGCAGGAGGGGCCGCAGGAGGCGGCGGCGGTGCAGCACGCCGCTAGCGAGGCGGTGCGCTCCGCTCTGACGCGGCGCGAGCTCGGGCATCTCCTCGACGGGATGCGAGGCCCCCCGCACCCTCGCCCGCCCCGTCTCCAGCTCATCTGCCGCACCTCGCAGCCGCGCCCGCGCATCGCCCGCCTCAAGACCGTGAACCCCGCGCCCTGAGACATCGACATTCTCAAAGCCCCCCCCCCTTC